GATTAGCCGTTCGTAAAATTGGAAAAAATGAATGATCCGCTACTTACGGCGTCGGATTCCCGAACGCTCCCGTACACACCAGTAAAACTATAGCACACCACCGTAACATCTTTGCGTCTACTACATATTTTAACGATCCGTCCGTATTTATACCTAATCTAGGGGTTATCTCTATTCTCTACCTCTAGGTTATGAGTTAAAAATAACAAATAGTTTAATAATCAGATACCTACTTATTTATCATCTATATTTTGGTTAAATTCATAAATTGAGATGTTTGGAAATATTTCTAGCGGCCATATTTGATATAGGTTTTTGGCGGCAATTACTTTGAGTGATTTAAAAAGATTGTCATTTTTTTTTAAATCAAGCCATAGACTTGCAATGGACTCCTCCGTAGTTCATACGAATTTAGTTTTGAAAAAGTAAGTTGTCATAAATCCCCTGAAAACGGCTTTTGCCATGCCATGCAGCCATGCCATGCTCCAGACGAATGGGCCGTCTCGACCGGAGGTAAACCACGGTCGAAAACTGGCGTGAAACAAGGCTTGCGTTGTCTTTCAGGGTGTGAACGAAATTACCGGAGGCCCAATTACCGCCTCCAAAATCCTCTAATCTCCAACAATCCAAATCCTCAACAGGCTGGCAGCGCACTTGAAACGCATCTAGTGTTGCATATCCATGAGCGACGCCGATTGCTTACCATCAGGTGATCCGTCTGATGAGTAAGCACCCTGGTCGGGTCAACATACAGGCTACATATTAACACGCTATCACCTACGGGGAGGAGCTGTGAAGAATTTTATTATCCATAGTAACTATTCCACGCGGACGAAGTCGCGTGCACAGGCAGTAGGTAATAACTAAGTAGGTATTTTGTACTTGTAGTTATCTAATCTGTTTGGTCAGAGTGTTCGTGTTAACTCGTGGGAATTTAACATATGGCCATCGACTCTGGAAACTGTTCCAAATTGGTAGATTAGATACATGAGTAATCAAAATCATCACCTACTACTGGACTATGGTCGTCCTCTACAATAGATAGACGAGATTGTCATAATTAAAAAATCTTCATGCAAAGAGGTTGGAGATTATAGTTTTCAATTTAACCATAATTTGGTACTTTTCAAACATCAACAAATACGAAATAAATAATAGTCTGTCAGTCAGTCCATCAGTGAAGCTAGGTGAAGCTAGGTGCTCATTCCAAAATGTAGATTCGAATGGAGAAGAACGAGCAAGAAACTCTATTCGTTACTCTTTTTAAAAAAGTATCTACTACAATGTCTCTTTCTTAATTATTAGGCGGACTGAACTGCGATCTTCAACTGTCTGTCAAAACGTGGAAATTTTCACAAACTCCTCCTTATGTGTGGGAGAGCCATGCTTCGCCACGAATGAGCTCCTGCTCGTCCGGAGTGACACCATGGCCGAGCAGGAAACCGTAGTGAAATAACGCTTGCGTTGTGTTTCGTCGTGTGAGTGAGGTTACCGGAGACCCAATTACTCCCTTCTCTAACCTTCCCAATCCCCAACAATTCTCAAATTCCTAAACCCCAAAAGGGCGATAACGCATATTATGTAATGCCTCTAGTGTTTCAGGTGTCCATTGGCGGCGCCGATTGCTTACCATCAGATCAGATTAAATTGTATACAATCCAATACTGTTAGGCTATTTTATAATTCTCCATTTAAAAGATCGAAGTAAACTCAATCGCAGTCCGCCATGTCATTGGTTGTTAGAATAATCTTAACCAATGACGGGCGATAATGCAATCGAACTCACTTCGAAAGTTCAAAATTGACAGTTATAGAGTAGCCTACTGTTTCTGTGAATACTTATTATACTCTTTGCTGTGAAGGGCTGTCGATGCTGATGAACGGATTTATTAATAAAATAAAAAACCATACCATTACTTAAAACTATTATATTTTAATATTTTAATTTTTACTTATAGTATAATTAAAATTATTACATGCTAATATTTTAATGGTTGCTTCCTTATAACTTAAAATTTTAGTTGCGAGAAAGAATCCGAACATAATGTCACTTAAAAAGGATTGAAACACGAAAATGTCAGTATTATTTATGTGTGCGTGCAGGTGCCACAGTCGTTGTTTCAGAGACTGTGTCCGCCGTTTTTTCAACGTTTTTCGATATATATGATAGGTACTTATTATTTGAATACTCAATGGCAAGTATCAATGTGACTTTTTCAGAGTTATATGGTATTGGAATTGGAGACTCGGTTGCCAAAGAAGAAAAAAATTAATAAAAAAGTACTTTCTACGATTATTTAGACCCCACTGACAAACGGTGAAGGAAAACATCTTGAGGAAACCTGGACTTATTATTTCTAATATTATAAGTTTGTAATTGCCAACCCGCATTGAGCAAGCGTGGTGATTAATACCCAAACCTACTCCGTGTGAGAAGAGGCTTTGGTCAGCAGTGGGCATATAAGTAGGCTGATGATGAACTCAATCACACAAATTGTAGTTTCAAAAGGCTACAAATGGGGTCCACTAATGTTTTCTAGGGGGCCTTTAGACACATGAATAGTTTTCTTTGGGGGTCAATGAACACTGAATGAATAGTTATATTTTCGAGCATTAATCCCAAAGGGACGAGCAGGGGCGTGCACAGAGATTTGAAGTAGGGTAGGCAGAAGGTATCACATGATTAAAAAAAATTTGGTCTTCATTAATCTCGGAAAATAAAACTCCCGAAACATCATAATTTTGAGTAGGTAATTAGGTTTAGTAAGTATTTTATTAATTTGTATAAACAAATTAGGTACATAATTATTTTCAAACTATCCGTGTATAAAGGTGATCAACATAGATACCTAGGTATCTATTTTACAAATCTATTAATTAGGTACCTACTTTGGAGCGGCGAAGTACAAATGGTTACACATCAAGCTATGCGACACCAGTATAAACTGACCGTTAAATGCATAGAAAAATCGTACAAAGCGAGATCAAGATGACTGGATTTTAAAAACATTAATGAAATTGGTACACAACCAGTGCTAACAAAACAAACTATACCTACCTATAATCGCAAATCATAGTTTATTAAAAGAAATAATAAAATTATTACCTTTTTTGAGTTACACCTAGCCCGGATATACGACAAACGCAAAAACGCCTTTGGAAATATTTTCGTTTCTTCTTCGAACGACAATAAGGACAACGCACTCATATTTAATTTATTGAACAACACAAATCACCAGCACAGAGCTCACAGCTATAATTTTACATAATTTTCGGTAAATTAACAGTTCATTTAAATTATAATTCATTACATTACAATTTATTCACTTGCACATAAAAACATAACCAAAACAAAATGGCCAAAAAAAACGTAAACAATAAGTTGACCAAAATTAATATATCTATTTTCAATCAACAAACGCTACGTTTTGTTGACTTCTTAAATTAGTCGGATAACGAAGAAGCAGTGCTTTTGCAGTTGTATAGAAATTACCAACCTAACAAAAAAAAAATCCAACATCATCACGAGAAAACAAGCAAATTGTACCGGCTACGCATTAGTACATGCTTCCGCCACCATCACACAATAGCGAGGTGGCGGCGCCACTGGCGCAATGCTTCAATATATCGAAGAAAGTAGAAAGTGGTTGTAGTACTTCAACATTTTTTCGATAGATGGCGTTAGTGACCAGTTTTTCAAATTAAGTATCAATAAAATTACGAAATCTCTGTATGATGTCAGTAAATATTCATGTCGTATTTATGAGTGACACTATGTATTTGACTATGTAGGTTTACCATGATTTTGTAGGGTATGCAGTGCTTATTTGCATGTACGGTGTGCACGCCACTGGGGACGAGGGGTGTGATGGAGCTTAGTGGCGTGCTTATTATAAAGGCATGATTATGTCCAGTAGAAAACGGACTGTTAAGGAAAACTGAACTTTAGGTGTCGAGGTGGCCCGGAGATTTGAGACGTCCGCCTCTCATGCATGAGGATGCGGGTTGGAAACCTAATGGAAATACCAATGTGGGTTTGTCCGAGTAATATTATTTTCTCTATTAGTTTTAGTGTATCTTAAGTTGTACGTATATTTATTTTCTTTTTCTTTTCTTATATTATTTCAATGTATGTATTTTATGGAAATAAGTGTGACCATTGGACGTTTAAAATTAGATAGATGCTTTAATTGGACAAAAACACTCTTGTTACATTTGCGCCACTTTGTTAGTAAACACAGTAGCCCCATTAACGATGATCGACGATGGCGACCTCTCGCGTCGGACTGGGATGCCGTCTCCTCCTTTAGCGAAGCAGTTATGTTAGCTAAGGAGGAGACGGGACGCGTGAGGCAGCGAAGCGCTGCCTCCTCGCAACCCAGCCATCGCGAAGGACACACCGGGCGTCAGGGATCGCGGGACGATCTCAGTCGTCCGACCAGCAACAGACCCGAGCGTACGGCACGTCGGTCCACGCGCGACTCAAAGAGCCATCAGACCACCACAGATGGGGCCCAACACGGCCGATGCCGATTCGGAGTGGCGAAGAACCTAATGGGTAACCGGGGCTCCGGCTCGAAGTGCAGGAGAAGGAACGGGGTAGTTTTTAGTCAGCAAGAGTCTGACACTCCCTCCCGCCTCACCCAGGCGGGAGCAGTCATTCGAAGATTTCCCCCCTTAAAAAAAGCCCCATTAACGAATGGTGAAAAATGCATGAAGCTCTGCCTACCCTTCTTATCCTTTGCTTTATTATCTTCATCCATAGAACGCGATAAGGACCGCTTTTTGGAGACTGAAAACAATAGTGTTTTAATTAAATAAATCTTTATAATAAGTAAGGGGTCTCTTAGTTTGATTCCTGGGTAGGGTAAAATATTATTGAGTTTTTCGGTTTAATATTAAAGCAAGAAATTGGTGTTTCAATTTTTTTGTGACTGTGTTAAATTATTTAGATAAGATGTATTAAATTCACCAAGGGAAGAGGAATGAAACCATAAAAATCCATACAGAAATTAGGTTATAATATTTATAAATTCTTTTTATTAAACTACATATCGGCCGGTGGCTGCCACGTAACAGATGAAATCTTTCTATTTATCTCCTGTAATATGAGGCGACATCTTGCTAACTGCGGGGGTCTTAGTTGGGGTGTAGGGTCTCTAGTCCTCTCGCCGCTGTTGTTACCGGGCGGGGGCCGTTGCGCCCGACGAAGAGCGCGGCGGCGACGGGCGCGGGCTGTGGAGTTTTACATTTTATCTTAGACAAACCAGCAGCTGTAGCCAAATGTCATTTAGCGCTTGTCTACGTGTAGAAAAGAAAACCAAATTATATGGAATTGACGTAAATTTTGACACTTGTCAGTGTCATCCCCATACATTTTGATTTCTACTCTCTCTCTGTACACAAGCGCTAAAGTGGCGTTTGGCTAAAGGCCCAGGTGAAGTATATTGCTTCTTTGTGCTCGTGGTGGCTCGAAGGTTAAGACTCCGCTTCTCATGCATGCAGGATGCGGGTTCGAAACATACTAAGCAACGGCATGTGACTTTTTCCGAGTTACTTTTTTTATGGCATAAGCCGGTAATCGAGCAGACGTTTCACCTGATGGTAAGCAATCAGTGTCGCCCATGGACACCTAGAATACCAGAGGCGTTAAAAGTACGTTACCGGCCTTTAGGGGATTAGGAATTTGAGGATTGTTAGGGATTCAGGAATTGAGGAGATTGGGGAAGGGATGGGTAATTGGGCCTCCGGTAACCTCACTCACACGACGAAACACAACATGTATTATACATATAAACCTTCCTTAAGAATCACTCTATCTATCAAAAATCACCGCATCAAAATCGGTTGCGTAGTTTTAAAGATCTAAGCATACATAGGGACAGACAGACGGTGGATAGCGACTTTGTTTTATACTATGTCTCTCGTAAGTCTCGATGATGCGGTCTACGATGGAGAACGTCGTCCCATAAACAACCTAAGAACTTCTCCGTTTTTTTATAGTGAACGGGGGCCCATTCGATGGATTTGCCACAAGCCTCGAACGATGTAGTTAAGCCACTGGCCATGCTTAGGCCTATGTTACACATAGAAAAGTTATGCAGAGGCATTGCTGAGCTTTTAACCAGAGTGATACCACGGCGTCTCAGAAAACCGGCGTGAAACAACGCTTGCATGGGTGCAGCTGTATGAGTGAAGTCAATGACGGCCCAACTCTCTCCTCTCCCAACCCCAATAGGGTAGATCCCTAATTTTTATTTTAATGTCCGTCTGGTAAATTATTTCAAATCATTAGACACGGATTTTTTATTTTCTTACAGAAACGAATACTTTCGACGATATATTGATTTGAAATGTCGCGTGACGTCACTTCTATGTACATTTTATACGTAGAAATGGCGTCATAGCCCCCACTCCTAAACTTTGATTCGTTTTATCTAAGTATTGTTTTATTATACGACAAAATAAAAAAATACGTGTCTAATATTTTTCCATTGCCTAACTTACGGACTAATTATATTTTTAATTTTCATACCCTGTCATCATCCCAATTCCTATAGTGCTCGCAACGCAATTATAACTCCTCTGGTGTTGCGGATGTCCATGGATAATGCCGATGGCTTACCAGGGAGCTTACTCTTGAAACCAATCTCAATACCTACCAATGCAATTTCAATCCAATAAAATCTCAATAATTATTCAATGTCAAAACTATACAACCACAATCGTAGCTGTTACAATAGCATTCAGAGTACGGAATATAAAGCCAAACTCAATACTATTTAGTTCATTAACTATCCACGCAATACCAATGCTATGGGCGCTAGTGTTGCAACAAAAGAGTACGAAATTTCACAATAACAATGTCGATCGATCAGAATTGGATTCAAGGGTTAGGCCCCAGGTGTGCTCTCAAAGGTGTCTACTCTAGTATCGCTAGCATCAAACGAAGTCGCGGAGAACCTAACGGGTTACCGGGGCTCCGGCTCGACGGGCAGGAGAAGGAACGGGGTGGTTTTTAGTCAGTTAGAGTCTGACACTCCCTCCCGCCTCACCCAGGCGGGAGCAGTCATTCGATGATTTTCCCCCCTTAAAAAAAAAAAATTATCAAATACTCACCACTTTCATTTTTATCCTTTGGTTTATTATCTTCATCCATAGAACGCGATAGGGACCGCTTTTTTGGAGACTGAGAACAATATTTTTTTTATAAAATAAATATTTATAGCAAGTATGAGATCTCTGGTCTGATTCCTGGGTAGGTTAAAGGATTATTGAGTTTTTTCGGTTTAATATACAAGGTGTAGTTTTGAAACCATAACATTTCTCGAGGGCATGTCACAGAAGTCATAAAGGTTCAATGTAAGAGAAAGTTTCGGGCCAATAGTTAAAAATACGGCTATAGTAAATCGTTTAAGTTCGACAGTATTTTAGAATAAGCGAATTTAAGAATTAAATTTCCTTTTTTTTAGTGATAGCATAGGTAGTGCTGTCCGAGGGAAGTGGAAACTATTGTATTTTCTTCTCCTCTGATAATATCTTCTGATTTATTTCGTTGCACGATCCAAGTCACTATCCAGGGAAATTGTTAATTTTTCTGGGACGTTGGACTTAAGAGTTTCGGTGTTTGGGTGGTTATTGGTTGGTTCGAATCCTGGGTCGTGCAATGTATTATTGGGTTTTTCAAAAAATCTTAGTAGTAGCATGGGGTCTGGAATTGTGCCCGGTATATGGCAATAGGCTCACCCCTATTACATAGGACATAAACATAACATAACATCACGCCTTTTATCCCCTAAGGGGTAGGCAGAGGTGGACATTATACCACTGTACAATGTAACACCCACTTTTCACTATTTATGTTATGAGTCCCATGTAATAGGGGGTGAGCCTATTGCCATATACCGGGCACAATTCCAGACTCCGTGCTACTACTGAGAATACTTCAAAAAACCCAGTAATACTTTGCCCGACCCGGAAATCGAACCCGAAACCCCTTGCCCGGCAGTCGCACTTACGACCACTCGGCCAAAAAGGCAGCAGAGGCAATTACATAGGACTCATAACATAAAAGTGGGTGCTACATTGTACAGTGGCATCAAGTGCTGTAATGTGCACCTTTCAACGCCTTTGGGGATAAAAAGCGTGATGTTATGTTAAGATAGGTAATTCTACGTACTCTTCTCTTAATTTGTTTCTGATAATGTTGAGCATCGTAAAACTGTGGTTGTGATCGTCTCACTCTGCCGGTGCGTCTCCGAATGTCCTCTACAGCTGGTAAACAGTCCGCTCCTCGACGAGCCGCGAAGAATGTGTGGCCACATTTACAAGACTTTGAGGCTACGGCTACCTGTAATTTGATAAAAAATTATGATTTATTTAACGGAATAAATAAGCATGTTGGTAAGCAATTCACACGCCCCGGGGACACAGAATACCAGAGGCGCTACAGTTACTCTACTGATAAGGCGTAACATCACACCTTTTATCCCCGAGGGGGTAGGCAGAGGTGTACATTACGGCACAATGTCACTGTATAAT